TGGGATAAATTTGCTTTTTATGGGTCTCAAACAAGGAGATGCCATGAAAGCTATAGTGCTGAGTGCTGCTTCATAAACTGGCCTAAATTTAGGTTTTGTAATTTACAGCTAGAGCAGCAATGCATTTCAAAGCACTGGTTGGATTATAGCTAGGAAATTGATGAGAGATCTGACCTTTAAAAATGTGTGTTCTTTGTCTAATGAAAGATAGACACCTATTCTTCCTCTCTCCTGTGAAGGCCAACCTTCACCCTCTGGGCTTTGCAACATCATCACCCTCAGTGTGGCCTGGGAGAATTAAATAAACTTCCCTCTAGAGACGATCAGTGTTTCTTGATCTTGGACACTGACAGTGAGTCATTAATTAGATAATCAGTTAAGTATAAAGCTGGAAATTAGCTGGGAAAATGAGGGAGAAAGATCCCCTCAATATTTGTGCCTAAGCAGACAGAGATCCTGCTCAGCCAGGCTTAAATCCATTTGTGTTTAAGCAAACATTTGAGTGGCCACTGTTTGTTCACAGGGAAATGTGGAGAGGGGTGTGCATCAGTGCTTGTTCATGGACAAATCCACACTGCAGGAATTGTACCAACGTGGTTTAACCCTCACTGTGTGGGCAGGGGGTGTTTGGGAGAGCGTGAGGAAGCACAGAGAGGTCAGGGAACAAAGCAGGCAACACTTTCAGTCCAGACCCCTGTGATGGATGGGTGGTGAGGAGGAGGAGGAATCCTTGAGAAGTGGTGAAGTCCTTGGCCAGAATCAAGGTGCTTGTGGTCCTGAGCAGGATGAGATGCCTGAGCAGGAGCTGGGAGGGTGCAGCTAAGTAAAATTCTTTTTGTGCACTGCCCCACTCTAGCTTTGACCTTAAAGATCAATGAGATGGACTTGTTTGGCTGGAGAGAGAGGCACTGATAACTGTTTAGTACATGGTTCAAAGCCTGACTCCTGTCTGGATGAAATGGACAGCTACCAGCCCTGCTGTCCAGAGATAAGTGTGCAAAGAGAATTGGGTGTCTTGGCAAGATTTCTGCTGGAGCTGAATGCAAACTGCAAAGTAATTCATCACTTGCAACTCTTCAATCCTTATTACCCTCCTTGCTATCTTGAATCAAAGTCCTCTTTCTTCCAGAGTTCAGTTCTTACTTTAACTGAGATATTTTTCCTGAAGAGCAACTCTCCAATTTAGGGGCAGGCAATAAATTAATAAGAAGATAGGTATAAATCATCACTCGTGACTTGGAATGGCTCTGCAATTATTCAGGTCTATAAGGCTTAGTTAATGTTTCTAACTTAATATTCTGCCACGAGATTTAATTTGCCTCATACAGGTCATTTAGTAACCTAAGCATAGATGCAGAACTGACAAATATCTATTAAACCAGTATGTCCAGGTACAATGAGGTGGATTTGTCCATCACTAGGTATTATGGCAACACTAAGCAGATGATTTTGGATAGATAGCCTCAGCTGCAAATTTAATTACAAGTTTGTTATTCTCTTATTGTTATCTGTCTTCCATTGAGCCACGTGCATCAAGAGCTCTCTCACATGAGATTTCTGGGCACAAACAACTAATTTACATTAAGTGGTTTTCTTAGTCATCTGCCTGTTATGTTCCCATCTGGATATAATTCCACACCATGGATTGGGCCTTTTCCTGTGGATTGGAAGTGGCTTGTCGTCACTCAGGGAGCTCATGCCTGAGGTATAAGATACCACTGAGGTCACAAAAACCACAGAAGGCTATAGCAACAATTACCACACCTCCAGTTATTTTAATTGAATTGTCTGTGACATTCCCAACACACCTCCATGTCCTGTTGTTTGAGTGTGCTACAAATGGTATTGCACTTTTCATAAGATAATAGCAATTAGCAGAGCTGTGGTTGGTGGTTATTTTAGGCAGCATTGTCTCTGGTGTTAGCCCTCAGTTTTCTTCTCAGCAGTTGTCATGGTGGACCTGAACATGGTATTCTTCTTGGTCATAAGGTCCTTAACTATAAAACTAGTAAAAACTGGCTTCAGTCCAAAGTGACTTGTCATTAAAAAAAAAAGCTCTTTCAAGCAAAATCAGTGGGAAAGCACCTACTGGTTAAAGAGAAAAAAGATAAACAGAATTGAAAAGCAAAAGCTAAGAGGGAAGGGTATTCAGTCAAGACCTGACACTCTCTGTGCCCGATCTGTGCTTTTCTTCACCACCTTTCTCTAGATAGGAAAAAGTGATGCACTTCTTGCTGCACCTGCATGTTACCCAGGGAGATAAAATTCCTCAATAAGAAATGAAACGCGAGGCTGTATGCTTTCAGAGCTAAGCCTCATTTTTTAAATTCAAACTCCTCACATCTTCAGGCAAAATAACATGCAGCATTTAATCCACAGACTTCTTATTCCCGTGTTTTGAATTAATATTAACCATGAACAATTCTGCTGGAAGAAAAGACTTAACACCAGTGTTGCAGAATACACTCCTGGATGTGTACAGGTTCCTGAAGAGGCTATCAGCATTTCCTGTTCTTGTTTTATTGTGCCTAACTGGAGGAAAATCCCAAAAGATCAGATAACCACAGAGCCTTAAAGTTCCCTTGTAATCTACCTTCCAGACTTAATTTCTCTCTGCCCTCTTTCTACTGCACTTTGGAACAAAACAGAGCTTTAATAAGTGTTGGTTACAAAAATGCCCTGATCCCATCCTGCTTAGATTGCATGAATGGCCTATTGCTAGACTGTTCCCAACTTGACCCTCATTCTGCATCCAAACTCAATGATACAGCCATTCATCAGCTTGATTTTGGCAGTGTTATACATGCCCTCTGAAACATTATTTTTGGCAGGCTCTCAAAGCACGAGTGACTTCCAGCATACAAATCTCATTTGCTGCATCGTCTCCTTCGTGATCCTTGATCAGCAGGAGCTCAGGACCTCGGCTGACTAGCACAGAGCCAAAAATAGTGTGTTTGTCAGTGCAAGTCTGAATACCCACGAATCTGTAACCTCAGTGACAACAGTTGGTGTGTGCATCTGTGCTGCTGGTTGTTGGTGTGTGCTCTGGGACTGCTTTTCTCCACCTGTGTTCATGTGAGCTGGTCAGCAGGAGGAAGGTGCCCTAAAAGCACTTGCATCTGGTCCCTAAATTAAGCAAATGTTGCAGTAAGTTGATTTGTCCCCCAAGGCCTGTCTGGAGATGGTAAATACAAAGAGCAGGCCCCTCAATCAGGGCCTTTTTTGTGGTTAGAGAAGCAGTAGTAATGACTGTGTGTATTTTTTAAGCTTTGGAAAATTTTAGAAGCATTTCTATTGTTTTTGATAGCCTGGAGTTCAATGTTAGCTACCCCTGTGCTCCCAATGGGGAAAGGGCAGCACAGGACAAGCCCGGGGATCTCCCTGCCACTCAGATTTTCTTCTTGGAGGACCAGTTCTCAGGCTTTTTCTAACATTGTTGGATCTCAACTCTTTAAGTTCTCAAAGGCTCCAGCAGAAAGCACAAGGTGCCCTGGGATCCCTGCGTGCAAGGTGTGAGTGTCCCTGCAGCAGCTCTTTGGGAGAGCAGCAGGAAGTATTTGACAGCTGCAGTGCCTTATATAACCCGCAATACCCACACCCCTGATCCCCCTGACGCTGAAGAAATGCTGTGGGGCTCTGCTCAAGTCCACAAGAGACACCACTGCACCCCAAACACCCCTCTTCAGACCTTCCTGCAGGGAAAAAGCTGGAGGAGCTGCCTGGACATTGGCACTGTCCTTTGCTCCCTCGGAGGGAAACCGCAGGACAAGAAGTGATTCAGCAGAAGATGATGCAGTGCAGGAGTGATTTCCTTGGCAGAGACCCCACTGCAGGTCTAAAGCTGCTGCTCTACAGCACCTTTTTCACTGGAAATGAGTAAAATTTCCAGTATAAAACCAAAACCTTCACCTCTCACAGAAGGCAGATACTAAACACGAAGCCAGCTCAGGTGACATCCCAACCTAGCAGGTAGGAGTCAGCCTCCCTGGCTGCAGCCCACAGCTTTGTTCTTTCAGCCAGGCTGACTGGAGTCCCTGTGCTCCTCAGTGCTCTGAGAGCTGATCCCAGCCCTTGCCAGAGCAGGTCTTTGTGCCCTTTTAATGACAGAAAAAAAACAAGCACTCAGACTGCAAGTGTGATTCTTCACTGAGCTGTGCATATTTCATGCCAGTAAATAACTGTAGTAAAATCTATGTTCTAGGCCAGTAAAATCTGTTTTGTGATGATGAGGGATCAGGCTCAGTAAAATGTATCCAGAAATTAAACAAGTAAAACAGAGCAAACAGCTCTGCCCTATCAAGGTAATTTATATCCTGCTAACCACAAGAAAAAAACCCAACCCAACATGCTCATGAGACATCTGGAAATGAAAATTAACTAAAACCAGGCTAACAACATAAACAAGAGAGAAATACAGCCTCCAGATCTGTGTAGCTGAGCCTGATGTATATCACAAACAAGATTGCTTGGGGTTTTTGTTTTTAAAAGAGCACAACAAATCAGGGAGGAAGTTTTCCATTTAAAGTCATAACTTCTCAAGTCAGACATTTGTGAGGGCATAAAAGACAGAAGCACAGAGGAAAAAATCATCTGCCAAGAGTTCTACATGTATGTTGGTCCCAGAACTGATTGACTAACAATAAAACTTATTTGAGAATCATTTTGGTGGCCAAAATTCACAAATAATATAATTTACAATGTGGTGTATGACGACCTTCAGATTTAATTTAATTTAAAAACTACATATTAGCACATACAAACAAAAATTTTGAAGAAATAATTTTAATTTTAATTTTAATTTTAATTTTAGAAATTACCATTGAGCAAGCACATGGTTTCCCTGCTGCAATATTGTCTTACTTACTAATGGCATTTGCTTCTCATTGTGAAAAAATGTCTGGGTTTGGTGCATTTCCTCTAAATGTATGAGAAGGCTGTACATGCCACAGAGCTGAAAAAAAATCTGGGCATGGTTTTCACCTCATCACTGACCTTGACTATTCTCTTGCCTATCTAGATATGAAATCTTCCTCCAAACTGCAGTGGGATCTGCCATCTGTTTGATTTCCCTGCAGATCTGGGCAGAGCAGTTTTATGATCTGTTTCCATGTCTATAATAGAATTTTTATAAAGGTGGCAAATGCTGCTACTTAAAACACTGGGGGGATGTTGGCTTATTTTTTATTTTCAGTATTGGAAAAAATATCATTATGGAGCTTTCATTTGTTCATATTACCCCCAAGATCCCACCAAAACAAACATTTGCTAAAATAATGATAAGCTCAGCAAAGCAGAAAGGTTCAGGTTTTGAATTATATACCATTAGATCTTAAACAGTACTGCCTGCCAAATCCAGAGTCCACATCATTTTCAAGCACACAAGTAATTTTCAAATACCACGTTAGTTTTGCAGTGCTGACAGGGGCTAAAATGATCTCCTGCTTTACTTAGAAGTTGACCCAATTTGACAGAAAAATCTTCAGGAGAATGAAAATGTAGAACTTTGTATTTTATTTGAGACCACTTCACTGACTACAGCAAAGCTCTGAATGTCAGTAATGCTATCCAGGCACTAAATGCCAAACCCTGCATCAAAACACATCCCAGAAAAAAACCCAGAAAGATGTTCCTGATTCTTTTACTCCTGCATGGAAATGGGGAAGTCTTTCCTTACGGTACCCCTTCCCTGGTGCACCCACCCTGTGTCTTTATTGTCCTGCACAGAAATAACACCATGCCAGGGATTCATAGGGATCCTGGGGGCCCTTGCTGTGCTTGTGAAGCCACCAGAACCCAGGAAAAGGCAGTCTGCAATCTAGTTTGGGTTTGTGAGACTTGTGCAGTCCTCGTAGCTCCTTTTCTCATGTACATCATGGAACTGCCACATGGCAACCTCCCTAAAGGGGTGTGAGGGATAAAATCCTGTGCAGGTCTGCAGGCTGGGCTGGGCTTGGGGAGGACTGTGGAATGCAAGGTGGATGGAAACCATGAAATGGAAAAAGAGGAGAGTCAGAGAGACTTCATTTTCCAAAGTCTGTAGGTTCTCAGGCACCAAAGTGATGAGTAGGAGACTTGCTGAGTTCTCCTTCCCCACAGGGACACTCCACACAAGTGTCACTGGGACTGAGGGCACGCTTTGTGTCCCTCACCCATGAGGCCAGCATGACAGCAGGGAGATGTGGGATGTTCTGAACCTGTGGTTCTTGGGTCAGAAGCTCCAGGGAGAGCAGGACAAAGAAGGGGGGTTCTTCACAGATTGTTTCCACAGGGTGTGGTTGTGGTGAGGCTTATGCAGCCCTGTTCTTACGTTTTCTTTTGCTATATGAAATTGAGTATTGAATACAAGTGACATAATTAAAAATATTTCAGATGAGTCAATAAACTTTTTCTCAGTTCCTGAGTTAACTCAGTCTAATACAGGTATATTTCTTGGAGCTGTAGAAAAAAAGAAGAAATTTTAACAAATACATACAATTTAGGACAAACGTGAACATCAGAGATTTCGAAGGCAATCAATAAATCAATAAAAATTGTATCAGCCTCCACTATGCATCCTTAAAAGGAAAGTCCTAGCTGATTCCCTGTTAGTTAAAAATCTGTGTATCTCCAGTCTGAGCCTGGATGCAGCAGGTCCACTGTGAGAGGCCAGGAATACAGGAATCCTGGAGAGGAGAGGAGAGGAGAGGAGAGGTACCTCTGAGTTATCTGCCAGTGTCCAAAAGGAGGATGGGGGGAGCATGAAACAAGATGGTGCTTCCCTGTGCACCTCCCTTTGCCCTGGGCTCCTCCTTTTGCTCAAGCACACAGTGCTTTTTTCCCAGTGCCAGGGGGGCTTTGTGAAAGAGCTGCATGTCCTTCTTGCATTCCTTGAGCTGAGTCCATCTCGGGTGGGTGGCCAGCTGGAGCCCAGGCATGGCCACAGGCATGGCTGCAATGTGCCTGCAGCATTATGAGGAGAGTGCCCAGCCTAAAAGCTCCTCCAGAGGGAAGGGCAGCCCTTCCACCTCCACCAAGGCTTCTCACAGCGTTTTCCCAAAGGCTTGACTCCACATGGGACACCTGCACCCCTCACCTCAGCTGGGCCCCAGCCCAAGCAGCCCACCCCAGGAGGGTCAGGAAGGTGTGCTCAGGGTCAGACAGGCTGTGCTTGGCAGACTGACACAAACTGAGACACAGCTGTGTCCTAGAGGAGCAGAGCTCCTCTCCCAGTGGCTGAGGGAACTGCTGGATGGCTGTGGAGGAAAGGAGGCTGCTCACTGAGGGAGCCTGACAGGGACGAGCAGTGGGTGTCTCCAGGGAACAGACTGCTCCTGCAGAAGGAAGGGATGTGGGCACAGAGTAAGAAAATCCTCCACAAGGGAAGAAGAGCTGCTTTGTCCACCTCCCAGCTCAGGCAAGCAACAAGCAGGGTCTGAGTGAGCAGTTCTGCTCCATTCCCCAGCATCACAGGGCAGGAATCTGCTCCACAATGAGCAGCTGGGCTCTGAGCTGGAGCCAGAGCTTTTGTGTGCTCTTGTAAGAGATACCTGTATGCCACATGCAACAGGCTGTCCTTGAGAAACAAGAACTTTGCCTACACTGGCACTGATGTGAGCACAAGATGTGCTCTAAGTATCAGTCTTGTTTCTTTGGTTGTTTTAAGATTTGTTGTCCTACACTTTACCTGTAATGAATTGGGTTTTTTAAATGTTATTGCTTGATACAGCATAATTCTATTTACTAAGACATGCTAGTATTTTGTTGACATTTTTTCTCTTTTCATCACTAACAAATTGTTGTTAGATACATGACAGCTTTAAAAATTAGTCATCTTGTCTTTTGAGGACAAGAAGAGGACCCATAGTTTAGAAGAGGAGAAGGAAAACTAGACACCATGTAGAGAGAAAACACATTGGATCAAAATCCGTGCAGTGTACCTCAAATTCCTTTCATTATGTACATGATATGATTATGATATGTATATGATATATTATGTACTAATTTTACCTTGAGCATGGCTATTTACCAAAGAGCTCTTGGTGTTCCCACAGCCTCTGTGGTGCTCTCCACACTGTCCCTTGGGCTATCACCTTCCACACCTTGACTCCCTCAGCAGCACCCATGCTCCATCAGCTCTCTCACACCTGAGCTTTGCCCATCCCACTGTCCATAAGCTGAGGACATCCAGAATTCCCTTTCTGCTCAAATAGCTGCACAAGACTTAGGTTATGGTTTCCTTCCCTCTGGAACTCGACCTGAGATGCATACAAGGAAAAGCAAGCCTCAGGGAAAAATGAAGTTTTCTCAAACCTGTTTCCAGACTGGAGTGGTCTCTGCTGAAAGGATGTGAACACTCTTGTGGCAGAGCTCTTATGGCTGACACAAAAATCCAGAGTCTGCAGCTGGGGCAACAAGAGCAGGAGCACCCCAGGAAGAGGTCAGGATCCTCCCCCATGTGCCACCTGTGACTGCTGCCAGAGACAAGGACCAGGACCTGGCAGGTCCTTGCAGGTGCCAGGCTGAGCAGCGTCTTACCCAGCCCAGAAAACACCACACAACAGGAGCCAGACATTCCCACGTCAGCCAGGAGCCAGTGTCTGTCCCACTGGGGATTGCTGCAGACCAGAAAAGCTGGGATTTGCTCTCCTGCCCCTGTTTCTTATGCAAACTCTCACAGACCAGCCATGACAATGGGTAACTTCTGCCAGCACTGGAGACCAGGACGAGTTCTAGTTCTGCCTGCTTTTGCTTCAGGGCAGACAAAAGAGAAATCTAGGGGAAACAAATCATGGCACAGTCAAGAAAGGAGAAGGAGGAAAATACAACCAGCACGGAATGCTTTGGTGTTCACAGTTTAACCCAGTGCAGCCCAACCACACTCCTTGACAGAAGCTAAAAAACAGAACCATGGAGGAGGGGGACCTCATAGGTGTTTCTTGGCCACTCACACTGATTTTTCCTGAAGAAGAAATTATCTAATTCCTCCCAAGATTATTGTAAATTATCTACTGACCTTAAGAAAATGTCCAGGTATTCCAGGGACACACAGGCGAGAATCTGGTGTTGTTATTCACAACTAGAAAGAAAAGTAAAAAACAGAGAAAATACAGTGTGACAAACCAATTTGAGTGACTCAGCAAATGTGCAGGGTTAATTGTCACTTTATTGCTAAAGATGAAGATAATAAGATTGTATGGCTCCATTCTTCTTGCTGTGTGTCAAAACTCCCATCATTTGTAGACGTAATAATGCTTCTCCTGAAATAACATAGACCTGCTCTTTATATGCCCTTTGTGTATTTATATGCCCTTTGTGTATTTTTCTGCTTTCTGACCTCTTATCTTTTCCAAGTCCTCCACCCTTCCTCTGTAAATGCTGGTGATCTTAATTTCTCCTGTTATGGTAGTTATGCTTAGTCACAAATTTTTGTATTTTGTAACTTTGTATTTCTGTTCCATTCCCTTCAAGAGGACATCTCACATTACATTTGGAGTAATCAGAAAAGTCATCACAGGCCATGAGAAGTACCTGCCTACAAAACAGCTATAAACTTCCCTTTTAAATCAAGGCATTTTCTGAGAAATATGAAAAGTTATGAAAAGCTTGCTTGTATCAAAGTTATTGATAAAAGACAGATATTTCATGCCCACTCTGAAGGGAAATGGGATAAATGACACATCTTTTTGGCCTAACATTAAAGCATAATTCATAAAGCATGAGGTACTTCCTACAAAGCATCCTAAAGACCTTCTTAAAAGGTTAAAGAAAGTTTCCTAGCATTGCTACTTCCTCTGCAAACAGGTACTGCTGCCCATCAGGGTCAGCACCACGATCTCAATACTGCAGAGCCATCCCACGTGTCCTTTATGTTGAATCCGTGCTGAATATGAATTTCATCCTAACTCATACCTGTTGCCAAACTCTGAAGCTGACATCTGTGTGTGCTCCCTTATGCCTGTGCTGCAGGAGACTGGTCCTTTCTTTCCAGGTTGTGGTAAATGGAAATACCTTGGTTGCCTTTGTCAACACTACATTCATCTCCTTATAGACTTTTTTCCTGGCAAATCATTCTCTGGCACTGGTTTTGTAACCCCACATCTCTTCCTTGGGAACCTATAATGCCTGAGGCATCTTTAGAAAACACATTTTGGGGCCTGGGCCTGGCAGCTTGGTCCCACTGATGCATCTGCCAAAGCATGCAGCCAGCAGCCATGTGACAAATGTGCCACCAGCCATGTGGCTGCTGTGAGAGCTCTGCTTTTTTAAAGCTGAGTTGTGCAGGATGCAGAAGTGTCAGTGGGACCTGCACAGAGTTGTCTGAACACACCTGTGACCTGTGAGTGCAGCAAAAGTATCAGAAACTTATTTTTCCTCCTGCTTCCTGCATTTTTTCCCACAAAGGTTGTGGTTAGTCTGCAATGGAGTGATGCAGGCTGTGGGCTCTGCCAGCTGAGGACAGCCACTGGCAAGTCACAGGGAGACAGGGAGAATGGGAAAAGGACAAAAAACCTCAAACCTCTGCTGTCCAGGAAGTGAGTGTGGATTACAAGCCTGGATGCCCAATAAAGGATAGCAGAGGTTGCTTCCTTTACATTCAACAGCACCACAGCAAACCAGTGAAAGGCCAGAATGGGCATGAAGGGAACAAAACACAACATTTCTCACTTGCTATAATTGCAGAAGGATGTGAGACCTTTACATTTTACCACCACAACCCCCAGAAAGTAGTTATTTACACATCAAATAGCCAAGGTCAGCTTCAGGTGAGGATGGAAGATCTCATTTTCACTTTCAATACTCTGACAAGGGATGAAGGAGCTCCTTCTGGACTGATGCTTTGCAAACAGACTTACTAAGACAGGATAGTCCCTGTGCATTATGAAGAAATACAAGCTTGTAGAAGAAACCCCTGCAAACTGACAGTGTTTTAAGGAAATATTTTTCAAATGACACAGTTAGGCAAAAATGTCCTGTTTTGAATAACTACAAGAATGTTCTCTCTGTGGGGAGATGTGAAGAGCAATTAAGTTCCCAACTTTACAGAACTGAAAATGTATTTTGCTTTAGAAAGGCTTGCTTTGATTTTGTTCAAGTAATACTTGAGAATCTGCCCTCCCAAATCTGCAAAACTATGATAAAAATATTTTTAAAAGGTAGATGTGTTTCCAAGCCACACATAAAGGCTAGCAATTGTTCAGTAATTCCATTTAAGCCTAAAATGTTTGATGGCTCAGTGCTCTTGTCATATTTTAATGGTATTTGCTGTAATCAGGCAGATTTTTGTTCAGCTCTGTTCAGACATTCTCATTTTTAATCCAAAATTTGCATCTACATCCAATAAAGTATATCCTCCTTGACTGCATGCCAAAAAGCAACTCACAGCTCCTCCAAAGACAGCCTGGTGAGAAGACTGCAGGCTCAGGTAGAGATACCATGGAGCCTCTGGTTCTCAGTCCTCAGGACATCATCCCCTCCAGGGCCTGACATTTGTGAAGAAAGGAGATGTATTTCCTGATGTGGAATTTTCTTCTTGCACCTCTGTTTTCTCTCTGGTTCCCTGGTGCAAAATCCTATGAGTTTTAACAGCACTGTCAAGGGAGGCTTTGTAGGCACTCGTTCAGCTGAGATCCCCACCACATCCTTCGGGAAGACTCAGGGGATGTATCCCAAATTAGGCACTATGGGACAGAGTGACCTAAAACCACATGCTATTGGCAGAAATTGTGAGTCTTTGTCAAAATCAGCATCTACCAAAATACCCATTCTGATTGATATTATAGTTTGTTTCACGCTTTCTTAAAAACACCTGAAGGGGAGGGGAAGTATAACCATAGCTACTGAAATAAATGGCTGCTGTCCCCTGGGCTGTGACAGCAGCATTTATCTTTTCTACAGCCCATGTGTGAGAGGAAGGAAGAGAATTCTCCAGCTCGGAGCTATTTTCTGTCAAAAATCTTAGTGTAATTTTTGTACAGTGAATATTTATAACTGTTGTTAGTGTCAATACAATTTTTTGCAGTTAGTGCACTTATTTACATTTTAATGGCCAAGCCAATAAAGATTTATGCACCTGTCATCTGAATTTTCCACAAAAGTGGTGATTGCTTAAAAAAACACCAGTTTCTCCTGCAGAATACTCCCTCTCCAAGCATCTTTTCGATGCCTTCATTGTTTTGGGAAACAGTAGTCTAACAGCTCTAAAAGTCATAAGTTAAACCCAGCAAAATCCTGCATCAGTCTTCATGGCAAAACTTCTGCATATTACAAAAGCACTTGCTCAGGAACCATTTTTTTCTCTCTGTTTTTCAAACACTGTCTCTTGAATGGCAAGGGCTGTTTCATCACTTTCAAATGTCTCAGCTGCACAAACTACATCACTTTTGTAGCTTGAGGAGACTCGCTGTTTAGTGTTGACCTTGTTTTGATTTTAATGCAGTTAAAGGCATGGTTCAGGTCCCTGCTCTGTGTGCAGGCACGCCACTCAGGAGGGACACACGGTGCTCCAGCATCCACTGCCCTGCACACATCACCTCCTCCAAAACGTGAACTACAGAAAAATCCCTGAAGGCATCCCCTCTGTGCCTGCCCACGGTCTCGGCACAGCAGCCTGGGCTGCCAAGGCACATGTGTGCTCTCATTCTGGCCATGCTTCTCCTGGGGGCAGCCAGCCCACAAGCCTTTTCTATCCCCACCCAGAGGAGGCTGGTGAGACCCACACCACTGCTTCGCTGCCAGGGCTCTGCAGGACCAGCTCCTTTTCCATCCCCAGGCTAGCTCGGTTGTTTCCCCGCTGTCCATCCCTCGCTGGGCTCCCCAAGGAGGAGGAGCAGGCTCTCTCGGGAGCTCTGTGCCCTCTCCGGGGTGTGCTGTCACTCCAGGCAGAGCTGAGCCAGCTCTGTTCCAGCAAGCTGAGGGTCTCAAAGACACAGAAGAATGAGGTTTCTGATCAGTTTCGCTGGGGTTCAATGTCCAGAGTAGTTTCAGCATAGAGCTCAGATTCGAGGCTGACATGAAGCCAAGGCCAGGCTCTTGTAAGGCACCGTCCATAGGTCACAGCTCTTACAGCCTGCACAGTCACCTGCACCAGAGCTGCAGAAGAGGCACACCACAGGATGAGAGCTGGAGGAGCCCCGGTCCCACAAATGGCTTCGGGGCAGAGCTCCTGCTCTCAGCTACAGCCTTGCTCAGCCAGACTGCGTGGCTGCGGCCAGAGCACCGTCAAACCTGCGCTGCTTGCCCTTGCTGCGGTCTCCAGAGCTCTGAAGCTTGCGCAACAACACACATTTTAATCGTGACACTGAAAGATGTTTTCTCCCGCACGGGCAATTCCCTCTGCAGCTCCGACCACGCAGCGCCTCCATCCCCAAGCCCCAGAGCAGCCCCAGCAACGCCTCGGAGCATCTTCCCGAGAAAACGGGGCGGCCGGGGGGGGCTTTCACCTCATCTTCCAAAACCTCAACTCCCCCCCTCCCCGAGATCTCCCAGTGAATGTCACCCCCGGCAGATGATGTTCGAGCGCGGTGTGCGCTGCCCTCGGCGGCCCGGGGCGGGGCGGGGGTCCGGAGGCGGGGGTCCCGGGGCGGGGGTCCGAGGGCTGGGGTCCCGGGGAGGGGTCCCCGGGGCAGGGGTCCCCGGGCGGCAGCAGCGGCAGCAGGAGGCGCGGTGAGCCCGGCCGCGGCAGCCGGGCTCTGAGCTCACCTCCCTCCCCCCCCCCGCTCCCTTCTCCCTCCCCCTTCCCTCCCTCCTCCTCCGCCTCCTCCCGCGCCCAGCCTGCAGCCGGGATCTCAGTATTATGGCATCGAGGAGAATGGAGACCAAACCCGTGATAACGTGTCTGAAAACCCTCCTCATCATCTACTCCTTCGTGTTCTGGGTGAGTGCGGCGCGGGCTCACGGGCACCGCGGGGCACGGCCCGGCACCCCCGGCCCCACCTGCCCGGGGCTGGGGGGCTCCGGGGGCTCCGCAGCGCGGCTCGGCCGGGGGGGCTCCGCTGGGCGAGCGGGGACGGGGCATGTCCGCCGGAACACAGCTCTGCGTGCACACACACGCACATATATGGGCTTACACGTTCATACACACCCATTTCTGTGTGTAAAAAATGATGGGGTTTTGCCTCCTCTCGCGGCGAGCACATCCCCCCGAAACCCCGCGGGGGAAAGTTGAAGGGGTCTCCCTGAAAGCCTCCATAGCCTGCCGCCTCCCCGACGCCTCCCTGGCCGGCCGGACCGTGTCCCCATGGCCGGACCGTGTCCCTACCACCGTGTCCCCACGGCCGGACCGTGTCCCTATCACCGTGTCCCCACGGCCGGACCGTGTCCCTACCACCGTGTCCCCACGGCCGGACCGTGTCCCTGCTGCTGAACCGTGTCCCTACCACCGTGTCCCTACCACCGTGTCCCCGCTGCCGGACCGTGTCCCCACGGCCGTGTCCCCGCTGCCGGACCGTGTCCCCGCGGCCGTGTCCCCGCTGCCGTGTCCCCGCTGCCCGCCGCATCCGAAGCCGCCCGAGCCCCCGGTACCTGCGCGCAGCGGGGGCTGCCCTCGCCCCGGCCGCGGTACCCGCGTTTCGTAACCGGGCTCGGGCTCCCGCAAACCATTTTCCTGACCCAGATGCATTAATTGAGCTGCCGCGATTGCCTGACGGGCAGCCCGGCCGTGTTTCTCAGGCGACCCCGAGGTTTTCGCAGCGCCCCGGCCTGTTAGTCAGCAGATCCCCGGCAGGAGCCGCGGATCGCGGCGGCGATCGGCAGGTTAAAGACCTTCAATGGCTCACGGTGACAACACGCGATGGTGGCCCCGCTGTGTGCAGTTAGGGACCTGCTCGGCGCATCATCGATACAGCACCGGGGCGGGTTTGTGGCTTCCCAGCCGGGGGAGATGGTTGTGCTCTCGGTTTGGTCGCTGTGCGCTGTGGAAAGTGCCCGTGAAACACACTGACTCAAATCTTCATCTTTCTGCTTAAAAAGGCATTACAAACAAAGAATTGCTTATTCATGGCAATAACGTTTGACATCCTTACAGTGAGCACAGGACTCCAGCTGCTTCAACTTTAACTTCATAGGCTTTTTTTTCTTTAAAGCATAACCAAAACACATTTTGCTTATCCGTACTTATGGCAGTACCTCGGTGTTATTGGCTCTCTTGTACCCCCCCTCCCCGCGGTGTTTAGCATATCCCCCCCTTCTTTTTTAATAATCTTGGTGGCAGCAGGGGTGTCTGATGACTGAAATGGATAGGAAGCCAGAATAGTATGTTGGGTTTTTTGTTGGCAAGTAGATTCTTCACATTAGTCTCAAGGAGGTGGCTAAGTTAAATACTTACCACAGTTTCAGGATCCATCCTTTGCAGTCCTCAGTTCTCAGCAGATCTGTAAGAAACCCCTCTTCATTCTGTGATGAGTGAGCAACTGCAGGAGCTCAGGCGAATTCATGGCATTTTTTAAAATTGTGTCTTTTTTTTTTAAAGTGATCATTGTATCTGCTGCAGCCCGAATAAACAGAGGACTTAGATCAGCATGCCCGTTGAGCTAGCACATTTCACCAACGCTAATCTCATTTAAAAAGAGAGAATTGTACCGTGAGCCAAGCAGCTGGCTGAGGGCATTTGTGCCTCAGGCTGTCAGGATGCCAGGCCAGGTTGACAGCTGGGACCTCGTGGGGTAAATGACACAGCTGAGCTCGGGTTTGGGCTGCAGCAGCGCGGCTGTGCTGGTGGGGTGCTCTGCTGTGAATTCTTTTCCTCTGAACTGTGGCTCAGGCTCCTGTGTCTCCTGATGCTCTCCAAGGGCATGGCCCACTCTTCCAGTTCTTTAACATTCGACGGCTGCCAGAGTCTCTGCTTGTCCTCTTCCTTGAGCCTGGAAAAGGAGGAGGAAATCAATGGCTGGAGACAGAATCCTGCAGCCACAATCAAAGGAGAAAGAAGAATCATGCTTGCTGTTGCATGTGGTTTCTCAAGGCACCAGCCAAGGGACACCTAGGCAGGTCTCAGTGGCAGAAGACAGCAAAGGATTTGGTAAAGGTCCAGAGCATTTGACAGCGGATTCTAAGTCTTCTTCAGTTCTTCTGTGCTAAAAGCAAGAACAAAAAATTGCTTTTTTTTGTCCTCTTTCTGGGCTCTGAATCCATTTAGGATAAATAGGAGCAGGATGCAGCTATTGCCATGAGTAGAGTAAAAACATGGTGTGTTCTGGCTGTATACTCATTTTCTTTTTTTCAGGCAAGTTTGAGAGGTGAGGGATGCATGGACTTCCCTCTCCAACAGCTATTGCCATGAGTAGAGCAAAAAACATGGTGTGCTCTGGCTGTATACTAATTTTCTTTTTTTCAGGCAAGTTTGAGAGGTGAGGGATGCATGGACTTCCTTCTCCATTATTTTCTGGGGTGATTTTTGTACTCTTAGAATCTGCTGGCTCCAGAGTGAGTGTAACTCCACTTGAGTCCTTGTGAATTCTCAGAGCTGAAAATATGGGAAGGATTCTATTGGATGAACTACTTTAATTTTTTTTTTTCTTGGACTGAGCTAAATACCAGAAGGAAACCATGCCAGCACCACAAATGGCTGGTTTGTAAATTTTTATTCTGACGGCTTTCCCACATTTTTTGGAGAGGTTGTAAGCTGATTTCTGAAGGAGAAAGCTCTGCGTTGCTTAGCTGCAGTTTGTATGGGTTTTTTTTTTTCTAGCTGTGAGAATGGAGTTGTGATACAACACAGGGCAGAAACCCGTCCTGTGACAGGGTGGTGTGTGGTGGAAACCCTTTGCCTGGCGGGTCAGGTGGTTACAGACGTGAGGGAGTGGGGAGAAGATGCTTCTTTGCATCCAGTGAGCTGTTCGGAACCATCATGAAGGACTTCTGTGCGTTTCACATTGTTTATAAAATAAGAAAGTCTCTGTACACAGCATGTTCCCCCAACAAGTGATTTTTTGCCAGGTTTAAATATGAATTGCATTTGTATTTGTGGGACAGATGTGTATAGGTGAAGGCTTTTAGTATAAACATTAAATGAGGCTGCACAGATTTCATGGGAGCTGCAGGACCGTAATGGGGAGACACAGTTAATTCAAATTTCATACTGCATAGCTTGTTCCTTTCCAAATAGGTTTTGCTTAATGTAACTTGTTATTTTGATAGCTTCTTCTCCTCCCCCTCACCATACTTCCCAACTTCTTTCCATAAATGTATCAACATGGTAAAAAAAATTCCATAAAGAGAGATAACAAGCTTTTTGTGTGCTCATATGTATTGTTATTCATAGAACACATTAAATGCCTAAGGTTACCACTTTTGGTCCTTAAGGGATGTAGTAATAAAAATTCAACAACCATTTTTTTCCTAATCAGAATTCTATACTGAATGCATCTGGTTTGGAACTCGCAGATTAAAATAAGGTGATAAAAGCTGTGCTTGGCTGTTAGCTATTTTTATTTTTTCCTTTTGGGTATCATAAATTGCTTGCATAGAAATCCGAGATAGAGCCTGTCTTGTTTTTAAGAGAAGATGAATTTTGGATTAGAATTCTAAGTGAATTTTTTATAGGAGAGAGAAACCTTGAAACACCCCTCAGTACCTTGTATGTGTCTAGTACTTAAGTAACCTTTGGTCTTAGAACATGTGTATAATTAATATTTCACTGTAGCCTTCTAAATATATTTTGTTACAAAATTAACTGCCTGCCTCATTGTGTTTTGGGAGGGAGCTTTAAGGGTGCATGCACTTGTCCTTAAAGTTACATGGCTGAGGAAAATGGGTTTTGTCTTCCATGCAAAGCTTGTTGTTGCCCCAAATAGGCACCATGGCAAAGTGATTACTTTCTGATCCCAGGCCCTGTGAGACACTTGGCACTCAAATGAGTGCTTTGTGTGTCCTGTCCTGCTGGAGCTGGGTTTTCTTGCTGTCAGTAAGTAGAGTTTCCATTTAGATAATGTTCCAAGGTGGGTCACTGATCTGAAGAGCACCTTCCAAAGTTTTTGGGGACTTCATTAGGTTCTCAGAACTTTGGCTATGTGAAAAATCAGAGCTAAGATATCTACTCATAGTTAGTGGTAGTTTGGTTTTCCGAGTTTTTATTGCTTTGAAAATAGACCTGTGCCTCCTGTGACCCCTTGGAAGCTGGCAGGTGGCAGGAGAGAGGTGGGGCAGGAAAGTGTTGCTTGGCTGTGAGGCCACACCAGGGCTGTGACTTTAAAAAGGTGGAAATTGTGTGTTTTCATATGGTTCCTCTACTTTTAGCCAGTTCCTCTGGGAATGTGGTGTCGCTGGTGAGGAGGTCAGGGGTTCTGGAGATGGCCCCATGAAGGGTGATGGGCTCAGTGCCCCTCTGGCAGGGGAGGTGTGGGAAGTCCTGGTGAGTGATTTAAAGTGCTCCCTCATTTTCATCTTCTCAGAATTCCCCAAAAAGGGGGAATTGTGGGTGCTGGGAGTGGCTCTGCTGTGGGACAGGCAGCTCCCACTGTGGCAGGAGGGTGGAGGGGGCGTTTCCCTGCCATTCCAGGGGCTCACAGAGCTGTTTTCCAGGAAATGACTGAGACAAAGAGCGAGTGTGGCAGCCTGCTTGGGAACACAGATTTATGGCTCAACTCCTGACCCATCCTCAAATGCAGCCATCTGAGCTCTGCATTATAATGTGGGATTAAATTTGTGTGTCCCTTTGAGTTACTAGTGGCATTAGTCATCTCCCCTGTAAGTGTCCAGTTGGGTTGCTGAAATAACTGGTTTTCTGCCCAAATCTTCTTTCCAGTGCTTCTGCATTGGTTCCTGTGTGTTTCTGGTTTTTTTTTAATACCTCTTACGATGCCTGTATTTCTTTTCTTTTAATTCTTTTAAAATATATGTTAGCAGATGGTTTTAGAGGAAATATTTTGGGAAATTTTTAGCTTTCCCATGTGGCTTAGATTGCTCAATCTCTTGGTGCTTCCATTTCATTGCAAAGTCAACAATGCTATACTTTTAGAAAGAAGTGTTTTTACTCATATGTAGTTACCTGAAATCCCAAAAAAACCACCAAGCTCTCAAAAATGCACATATCCCCCTATCCTGACAGATTTGAAGTGCTCCATTGCTCAGGCACAAACCTCATGCAGTGCCTCCTTAAGTCAGTTGTTTCCTGTTCTGTTCTCATAATGATATACATGAAAGATTAAAGATAATGGTGTTTTCTAGTAAGCATAGCCCAAGGTGAATTCTGTTGGCTAAATAAATAACTGGATTTTTAAAAACAACCAAGAAAAGGCTAGATGGTGTTTGAAACCATAACTCCAGAGTCAGCTTTGTAAATTCCTTTTTGGGATGTGTAAACAGCTTGGCTTAGTTTAGTGGGGTTTTGGTTGGGATTTTTCACGTTCTGAAAATTGTGTGGTGTTGGTACAAATTAGCATTTTGCACCTCATTTAATGGAATAATTGACTTTGCTGTTGGCTAAATGCTCCTTCTTTTCTGTTTGTGGAGCTGTGCTTGCATCTCAGCCAGTGCCACCCCTTGACCTTGGAGTCTGCACAGGACAGTTCTGTAGTTTGAGGATGGGGACATTGTCACACTGATGGGTCAGTTTGGACTGGTGGAGGGGGATAGTGGGTGACTTGGAAGTTGTTTCAGCTCTGTTTGGGAAGGCACAGGATGCATTCATAACCAGGCAGTGGCAGGAGCCGTTGTTTTTCACGGGGAAGGGCATGAGGCTGTGGGGGAGTGCCACTGTATGTGTAGTAAACATTTGGCTGTTTAGTGTTCCCTCATGCTCTGAGCAACCTGTTGTGTGCTAAACAGGGTAAATATAAATCCCAGGGAAAGGTGCTGGGGAGGCCTGGTTAGCACTTTTCCATGAAAACAGCAGTGGAGTCCTTGGATGCTGCTTCATTCCAGCCTTGCTTGTCAAGGAAATGGAGGCAATTATCGTAGGTAAACCAAGGGAATTTAAAATGGATCCAATAATCTGATTTTATCTCTGATTCTGTGACTATTTATCAAATCCCTGTGCTGTCAGGGAGGGAAATTAGGTTACCTGGTACCGTTAGTTGTCTCCATCTCTGGATTTTTATCATCATTTCTTCTGTTGTTGCAACTGTCCTACAAATTTACGTGCCAGTGAGTTAATAGATGA